AAAGGGGCACCTGGGTGGCTCAGTCAGTTAAGCGTCTGCCTTCAGCTCAGGTCATGATCCCAGGGTCCTGGGATCAAGCCCCGAATCGGGCTCCCTGCTCAGTGGGGGAGCCTGCTTCTGCCTCTGCCCCTCACCCCACTTCTAATCTCTCTCTCTCAAAAAAAAAAAAAAAAAAAATACAGAAAACCTTGAGAGATTAAGAGAGATATAGGATTGACAACATTACCAGACAGGGAATCCTGAAGGAGAGAACACAGAAAAGACAAGTAGAAAAACTGAAGGAAATAATGGCTGAGGATTTTCCAGAATTGATAAAAGACATGATTCCTCAGATTCTAGAAGCAACTTCGACCCAAGAAAGATAATTATGGTAAACACACTGACATGCAATATGGAACACTGAGGTTTAAGAGAAGATTAAAAATCAAACGATGAGAAAAAGCAAAGGGGCAATAGGAGACTCCTCAAAAAGAGTAACAGAAACCCTAAGACAGTAGAATAATATCTTCAAAGTGCTGAGAGAAAATAGTCAACCTATAATTCTATATTCAGTCACATGACCGATGAGAGAATTTAAATAAACATTTTCAGACAAATAAAATCTGATTTTTTACCACTAGTAAATCCTAATGAAAACCGTACTAAAAGATATTCTTCAGAAATGAAACCCAAAGGAAGGAATATGATGCAAAAAGCAATGATAAGCATGAAATCTGTGTGTGAATAAATCTACACAAACATCAATGGTATCAAAACAAAAATGATGATAGCTACTTGGTAGGTATATAAAAAAAATTTAAATGCCATACAAAAATGATATGTAAAATGGGCAAGGTGTGGTGGAATTAAAGTGTTCTAAGATCCTTAAGTTATTTGAAAGGATTAAGATAATGATTAATTGTAGACTTTGTTAATTTTGGTATGCATGTTAAAACTGTAAGGGTGAAAAGAGAAATAGAATATGTAACTTCTAAAACAGTAGAAGGAAATAAAATGTAAAGCATTATTACCACCCACATTTTATAGGACATGAAACTGAGGCTTATTAAACTGACTGACTTGACTAAGTTTACCCAGCTAAGAACTAGCATAATAATAACAGCATGTGATGTAAATTCATTTCTTTCAACTCCAAGTCTGTGATTTTTTTTTTCCCTTCTATGTCATATACCCTCTGATCTAGGTGATACATGTTCCATTGAATAAGGCAAAAAATCTCACACTGCTACAAGAATATCTTTATATTAAATAGCACTTTGTAGTAAAAGTAAGCAAATCCTCTTATTCCTCTTTTCCATTTCATTTTTACCTACTCTCTCCACTCATTAATTCCTACATTCTCCAAATAATTTTTCTCCTGGGCTCTAATTTTTACTTTTTTTTTCTCTCTTCCCCTTTCCCACTTAAATATGTATGTGATTAATAAGAATAAGTGTGTGTACATGTGTGTAAACATGTGCAATATTTATGATCATACTTGTTTGCTTATTTCAAAACAAATTCTCAATGTATATGCTGTAGAGAGTGGTAAATTCTAAATGCCTAGTTTTTGCTGGAATGCGCTTTGTTTGAAAGATTTCTACAAAGATGAAAGATGTCATAAAAGACAGTGGTACCCAGATCTCCTTCATCCTTTTGTAGTACTCTATCACTGAAGCAAGGATGTAGTATCAAAAAAGCAGTAGGACTATCTGTGGCAACACTCTAGGCTCCAAATCTTAGCAGTGGTAGATGGTCCCCTGGAAAACTGTTAATAGAGTCAAAGACTTTACCTCTGCACTAGGGTAAGTGACTCCTTTTCTCCTTGCCAAGACCATTTCAATTGGCTTCTAACTGCACTATTCTATCCTGAAGCCATGCAGTAAAATCTTCAGGATGCGCCCTAGGCTGCAGTTCAAGCTCTTGGACAATTACTCTTGCTAAGTCACTGTCACTGATTCCGCATCTAGTCTGCCTACTTCTGCAATATTTTATGAGGCAAAACTTCAAGGTATGTAATTTGCTTACTATCATACAGAAAAGCATATAAGTCCCTTGGAACCAACTCTTGGTCTCCTACCATATAGCGTGTCAGATGTATAAAAACAATTTTATATTGTTCACAGTGCCTTTAACATGGTGCCAGCTGATTACATTCTACCATTGGCATTATTGATCCAAATATCTCTATTGTAAATATACCCTTGAAGAAAGCCGTACAGCATTTGTATTATAAAGAAATGAATGCTATTTCATAATGTGAGGCAATTCTTTTATCTGGAGGCACAGAAATCTTGGATAATTAAAACCTAAACCAATCTAGACCATTGCTCTATTAACCAAAAAATAAAGTAACCATAGATGTAAAAAGCAAACAAGCCAAGAAAAAAAAAAAATCACATGACTTGCTCCTTCAATTTCCCTCTATTAACCTGAAGGCAACTCTCTCCATTGTTCCCCCCTCCCTCCTGCTGTGACTCCCCAAAAGATAACCTAGGGAAGATTAAGTAGTCATACGGTATTTATCTCTCTGACTTATTTCACTTAGCATAACACCCTCTAGGTCCATCCTTATATATGGAATCTAAAAAACAAAACAAATGAACAAATGACAAGAAAACAGATTGTTGTTTTTTTTTTAAAGATTTTATTTATTTGACAGAGAGAGACACAGTGAGAGAGGGAACACAAGCAGGGGGAGTGGGAGAGGGAGAAGCAGACTTCCTGCAGAGCAGGGAGCCAGATGTGGGGCTCGATCCCAGGACGCTGGGATCATGACCTGAGCCAAAGACAGACGCTTAACGACTGAGCCACCCACGCGCCCCGACAAGAAAACAGATTCTTAAATACAAAAACAAATTGGTGGTTGCTAGAGGGGAGATGAATGGGGACATGAATAAAACAGATAAAAGCAATTAAGGGATATACAAACTTCCAGTTATAAAATAAGTCATGGTGATGAAAAGCACAGCATAGGGAATATAGTTATTAATGTTGTAATAATGTTGTTTGGTGACAGATGTGACTACCCTTACAATGATGAGCACTGAGTAATGTACAAAATTGTTGAATCACTATGTTGTACACCTGAAATGAATCTAACATTGTATGCTAATTATACTTCTATTTAAAAAAAAAAATTTTAGAAGATAATCTAGAGGAGGATAAAAAGCTTTCAGACCTTGATGATCCCCAAACAGAATAATCCATCTCAGAATAACCAAAAGTTGGTTGTATCCTGTTTCACAATACTTCTATAGCAGGTAGAATAATTTCATTACTAAGAACTAGTAAGTCTACCAAACTTAAATAGAATTTCCATTTGTACAAGTGCGTGGAAATATGGTGACTACAACAACAACAAAGAACCCACTTGATGGATCAGCCAAAGATGTTTGGAGGAGTGGGCTTTGCAGTAGTGAAAACATAATAAATAACAGATGGTACTTTTCCAGACAGGAGCAATAGGCCAGGGGGAGGGGGATATGTAGAGACCCACAGGTCAAGGATGAACAAGCAAAAGAGCCCACTATGTGGTCTCAAAAAATGGTACTGGCAAATTAGAGCTATAATTTCATGATTGCATTGAGCCAGATCTGGGCTAGGTAGCAGCTGAAGCCCTTGTTCTCATAATAAAAAGTACAAAGCTCTGTCAGCTGATTTACAAAGCATAGTTATTAACACCTGAGTCCGGGTGGTGGAAGGAACAACAAACATCCAGCAGCTCTCTGAGATCCTGAATAAGAATATAAGGGCGCCTGGGTGGCTCAGTCGGTTGAGCGACTGCCTTCGGCTCAGGTCATGATCCCAGGGTCCTAGGATGGAGTCCCACATCGGGCTCCCTGCTCTGCGGGGAGCCTGCTTCTCCCTCTCCCCCTCCCCCTGCTTGTGTTCCCTCTCTCGCTGTGTCTCTCTCTGTCAAATAAATAAATAAAATCTTTAAAAAAAATAAATAAATAAGGTAATACACAATATGACAAAACTATCTCTGCATCATCTGGGGAGAGGTTCTCCGGAATGGGGTTATTCCAGCTTATGAGAACCACTTACGTGGTGAACAAATATAGAAGTGATTAGCAGTTTTCTAGGCTTGAAGACTTCTCTCCATAAAAGATCATAAGATCCTAGGGCTCCTGGGTGCCTCAGTCAGTTAAGCATCTGCCTTGGGATCAGGTCATGATCTCAGGGTCCTGATATCGAACCCTATGTCGGGCTCTTGCTCAGCAAGGAGTCTGCTTCTTCCTCTCTTTCTGCCCTCCCCCCTGCTCATGCTCTCTCTCTCTCAAATAAATAAATAATTTGAAAGAAAAAAAGATCACAAGATCCTAAGAATAAAAAACTGAAAAGATTAAGTGAGCTTGAGTCATAATTCTATTCTCTTTCCTTCCCCCTCAAAAGAGGCCACTCTCTCGGTTTCCCTTTGCAGAGAATCCTCTGTTCTTCCTCCTCTGTTTTGCTTCGGCATGGTCTTGAGATGTTCTTTCCTCCACCTCTGTCTCTGTCTTACATGATGTGTAGTACAGAAGCATAGGGGATGACATGGAGCCTACACCACAGAATCAACATCATTTCCCGCCCTCTAGAAGGTCACCAGGCTGAGTATGTCCCAACAGTTGATTCCTACAGTAAGCTCAGAGAATAGCTCTGGTCAGTGTCTCTGTTCCCCATCACTTCAATGATTCATGACAAGTCCTCTCTCAGGGTTCTCTTTTAAGTCCCTCACAACCAAACCAAAAAGGCATAAATTACAAAAAATATGGGATGTCCTTTATTGGCAGAACAAGTACTTGCCAGCAGAGAAAATAAAGCAAACCAAATAAAATAGATAAAACGGAAACCCACAAATCAGACTATAAAACAATATTGTACTGACATTTAAATGAAGAAATCCCATGGCAACAATTTACCTGCTGCCTTTTTGCCTGTAGTCCCAGATTTCTCTTGTTTGGAGCTGGACACAACTTTTTCATTTTTTTGTGTACTTAGAGCTGCACATTGAACCAACATTATTTACTACTTACTTGAGCTTGTTTGCATACTTTAAAAGGGTGAAGTGTTTCTTGGTAGAAAAGCTGATGATAAGCCTGTAGGTCAAACCAAAAGTACACACTGTTCTTCCACAACTGTAGGTGGAAAAAATACATAAATCATTACCACCCAATTATTAAAGCTCTACAAAGCTCTAATTTCAAATATAAATAATTGTTCAGCTCCTTGGTGTTACCATAAATCAGGTTCAATTTAAGATGGTCTTATCTTCTATTACAAACTGGCAGCATACAAAATATTTACTGGTATTGTCACTAAAATATTATATTTTTGCATGTATGCCTCTTATATAATTGGCCATTAAAATAGGAAGCATGCTAGTTAACAATTAAAGAGTAATGACATACTTCTGGCATGAAACCAAAATCTGGAGGTATTTTGATATATATGGACAAATGTATATCATACTGAAACCAAACACTACTCTAATAATTGAGCCAGTGAAATATTTTACATTTGAGCAAAATGAAAACAAAACAAAACTGGCAATGAGTTTTCCACTATCCATTGCAACTTCTAATTGTTAGAGTTATTAAAAATGAAAATTAAAGGATTGATAGACATCAACTCTGAATTTAATATATATTACATCAAAACAAAATTACATGAGAATAAAATATTGTTAATAATGCAAGTCAAGGGGCGCCTGGGTGGCTCAGTCAGTTAAGCGTCCAACTCAATTTCGGCTCAGGTCATGATCTCAGGGTACTGGGATCAAGGCCCATGTCTGGCTCCATGCTCAGTGGGGAGTCGGCTTCAGGATTCTCTCTCTCCCTCTCCTCCCTCTGCCCCTCCCCTCTGCTGGCACGCTCTTTCTCTCACTCTATAAAATAAATAAATATAAAAATATTTTAAAAAATAATAATACAAGTCAATCCTTTACTTTTCTTTGTAATTCTAGTAGGATAGTGAACCAAGAGAATTATAACTGAGATGTTTACATTTTTACTAAATATTTAGCATAAAATTTCTTACCAGGAGAAATGGGAATTTTAATATCAAATATAATTATTTGAGCACTGAATTACTTCAACTTCTCTTAGTTTAAAATGAGGTAAAGTCATAAAATTAGATTTAAAATCATTATTTTCTACCTTGTTTCCTGAATGTTCACAGAATTTAGTAAAGAAGAATCCAGCTCTATTTTCTACATACAAAGTCTGCAACAAATTTTCCATGTCAAATCCTCCCAAGGCACTATCTGCCATGGTTTTAACCTAGATAACAAAACAGAAGTCCATGATCCACCCAAGAACATGGTGATTTTTTACGACACTGTACAACAGGGTTTCATAAATTCTGCCAGGCTGTCGTTTTCCTGCTGGACTTTTTATTTTATTTTTGTGCCATGTAAGTAATTAATGCAGTATGTTTGCATATAACTGTCACTTAAGAGTCATTTATGGAGGCAACTATAGCAGCAGACTTCATTCTATTATGAACCAATCTGATTTCAAACTTAATGTTAGGGTAACTTCTCAACCTCTATTATTTTCATGTTTCAGGCACAGCGATACCATTTTAGGAGTCTTCCAAATCTCTGTTGGTGGCCTCGTTCCTACATATTTACTGTTATTTTAGCCTTGAGGTAATGCTATAATGGCTACAAGAGAGTTATAAAAAGAACCATCCTCAAGGTCTCTCAGTGCTGCTCATTAAATGTCCTCAGGGGGCCCCTCCTTGGATAGGCTCATGGCCTTCAGAATGTAATGGTAATGTAAGTTCTCACAAAACGCTGTTATTTTGGGCCCTCTCTGCCAGTAAAGCTGGCAACCCTAATACCATTCTTGAAACACAGAAATTTGGTTACTTCCCCAAACATAAGAGTGACTTTAGAATATGAAAAGGCATCCACCGTTCACAGGAACTCTGGCATTTGCTGTATGGAACTCAGACTTCTTTGTAATCTTAAGATAACTGTGGCATGAACAATTTAAGGCATTGTTATAGTGTCTCTCTGCCTCTCTCTTTAGCCCTCTTCCAAACATATTCTAAAGTGAGAATTTAATGTTTTTATGATGTTTAACTGTTGGCATTCCAAAAACTAAAAAATATATATTATTTTGGTAGGGAAAAAAGCCCTAGTTGGAAGAAAAGGAGAACTGTTTGCTTAGAATAAAATAAAAAGTTATACAAAACTATAGCTAAGTGTTCAGACTATATTGGGACTACCAAAGTTTCTACCTAAAGTATAATCCTTAGGGAATATAAAATTGTCAACCACAACTGGTGTAGTAAATCCACTTTATTAAGGTAGCCACACACTGAAAATACTCTGCTTTATAAAAATTATTTCCGAAACATAACATCAAACATTATTTTTTATCAAATGTTAGCAATTTAATAAAAATAATAGATGGTCTTATTTTGTATCTAAGGTATTCTCACACCAAAACCGGAAGACAGTTGTTTTTGAAAATAGTAATCAATGGAGTATATACATAGCAACATGGAACTACAAAAGGAAACACAGATAAAATTTTTGTATACAAATCTTTTTGGAAGGAAAAAATAAAGTGTATTGTTTAGTAGAGAAAAAAATACTATGGTAAATCAATAAAAATTCTCTAAAATCAGGGGACATTGGTCAGTTAAATGAAGAGTCAGATAAATCAGTTCTCAAAATACTTACCAAAGGTTCTTCTGTGTAGGTGTATCTTCTATCCAGCTGGGGCTTCAGACATTCAGAAATGTCAGTAAAAGATGTTAAGCGAATAATTTTGCTGCTTTCCGACCTGCGCCTCAACCTAAATTATAAGGATAAGAACGCATTGATCAATATATGTTGAGCACCTTTGGTATATATGGCACCAAATCTTAGGAGTGCATCTGAATGCTGTGAGAGAACAGGGGAAGAAAAAGTCCAAGTATCAGGTCCAGCCTTTAAGAAGGGGCTGAGAGGGACACCTGCGTGGCTCAGTCGGTTAAGCGTCTGCCTTCGGCTCAGGTCATGATCCCGGGGTCCTGGGATCGAGTCCCGCGTCGGGCTCCTTCCTTGGTGGAGAGCCTGCTTCTCCCTCTCCTTGCCACTCCCACTGCTTGTGCTTTCTCTCTCTCTCTCTCTCTAATAAATAAATAAGATCTTAAAAAAAAAAAAAAGAAGTGGCTGAGAAAATAAAGTACAGTCCTCAATAAAGACAACTCTCTATAAGATTAACTGCTGGTTGAATGAATTCAAGAATATAGATGTCAAATGACTGGGATAGGTAACAATGAGAAGTCCCTTTGAGCTATATTAGTAATTAAAGAAATGAGATTTTCCCTGAAAAATGGGTATTAGATGTATTGTGAGTGTGTGTGTGTGTGTGTGCTAGCGTGTGTGTTTAGAGGGGTCCTTTATTTTTTTTAATTTTATTTTATTATGTTATGTTAATCACCATATATTACAACATTAGTTTTTGATGTAGTGTTCCATGATTCATTGTTTGCATATAACACCCAGTGCTCCATTCAATAAGTGCCCTCTTTAATACCCATCACCAGGCTAACCCATCCCCCCCACCCCCCTCCCCTCTAGAACCCTCAGTTTGTTTTTCAGAGTCCATCGTCTCTCACGGTTCATCTCCCCCTCCGATTTCCCCCCCCTTCATTTTTCCCTTCCTACTATCTTCTTCTTCTTTTTTAACATATAATGTATTATTTGTTTCAGAGGTAACAAATGTGCTTCATCAGTCTTACACAATTCACAGTGCTCACCATAGCACAAACCCTCCCCAATGTCCATCACCCAGCCACCCCATCCCTCCTACCCCCCACCACTCCAGCAACCCTCAGTTTGTTTCCTGAGATTAAGAATTCCTCATATCAGTGAGATCATATGATACATGTCTTTCTCTGATTGACTTATTTTGCTTAGCATAATACCCTCTAGTTCCATCCACGTCATTGCAAATGGCAAGATTTCGGGGGTTTTGATGGCTGCATAATATTCCATTGTATATATATACCACATCTTCTTTATCCATTCATCTGTTGATGGACACCTTGGCTCTTTCCATAGTTTGGCTGTTGTGGACATTGCTGCTATAAACATTGGGGTGCATGTACCCCTTCAGATCACTACATTTGTATCTTTCGGGTAAATACCCAGTAGTGCAATTGCTGGGTCATATGGTAGCTCTATTTTCAACTTTTTGAGGAACCACCATACTGTTTTCCAGAGTGGTTGCACCAGCTTGCATTCCCAGGTGCCCCTTGACTTGCATTATTAACAATATTTTATTCTCATGTAATTTTGTTTTGATATAATACATATTAAATTCAGAGCTGATTTCTATCAATCCTTTAATTTTCATTTTTAATAACCCTAACAATTAGAAGTTGCAATGGATAGTGGAAAACTTATTGCCAGTTTGCATTCCTACCAACAGTGTAGGAGGGTTCTAGAGGGGTTCGTTACATGGGGAGAATAGTGAGCAATATATGAAAGTAGGTAGGGAAAGCCTTGTTTAAAAGGCTGCAAGTTAACTAATTTGCTTAGGGCAAGAGGACACTAACAGTTAAGTAAACACTATATAACACATACCAAACACTGTGCTAAATAAAATTCACATTATCATATTTAATCCTCACAACAGGTGGGATTCATAAGGATTTATATGTAGTAGTGTGGGGTGAGATAATGGAAGACTATGGAGCTAGACTAATGGCTTTAGACATTATCTTTTTATATTTTCTTATCCACCTCCCTCTCCATACCTCACTGCAATTATTCTAAGCCTTATTTTCCAGCTCCATAAAACATGCCCATCCACCTCACCAATATATCTGCACCCCAACCCACCAGCAGTTTGCTTTGCAGGTTCTTCTCAGACAAAAGGTAGGTACAACATGCCTCTGTTTCCACTCCCTGATGTAGTAGACACTGTTGACTGACTGGTTAACTCAACACTCATTCCCAGATACTGGGTGATACTGAGAAAGCTAAATATTCACTTTCTAAGACCGACTTGCATAGACGGATCGTCATGTGACACAGTTATGACTAATGAGATACAAAACAAAGTCTGCTGGTGAGCTTCTAAGAAAGCTTGCTTTCCTGACCAAAGGGAAAGGATTAATGAAAATTGCCCTTTCTTGGGTGCCTAGGTGGCTCAGTTGGTTAAGCGACTGCCTTCGGCTCAGGTCATGACCCTGGAGTCCCGGGATCGAGTCCCACATCGGGCTCCCTGCACAGCAGGGAGTCTGCTTCTCCCTTTGACCCTCCCCCATGTCATGCTCTCTCTCTCTCTCATTCTCTCAAATAAATAAATAAAATCTTTAAAAAAAAAACAAAAACAGAAAATTGCCCTTTCTTCTTCATGATTTGAAAGCCTGATATCAGGAGCTGTAACACCAATGAATATGAAAAATGGCCAAGAACATTACAAAAATTCAGGCCCTAATATTTCCAATCCAAGGAACCAATACTGGCAGTTGCCTACCCTCAGATTTCTTGTTCTGTGAGAAAAATAAGCCCAATTTGTCTAAGCCATTGTTAGTCATGTTTTCTGTTATTTGCAGCTGAAAACTCTTAAATTATCTATCAACAAATATATCCACCTATACCTATCCTTATTTCGTTCCATCATGTCTCAGGAAAAAGTGTCCTATCTCGTGTCCGAGATTAATCTCATGGCCTCTGTTCTTGAATCCTTCCTTCTATTCTCCTTTGAAAATACAGATCTTCTTCTTTCTCATGGATCTTTAACTTTTCCCTTTCCACTAGATACTCTAGACATATGAACAGGCTCAGGTCTCCTCCACCTTAAAAATATTGCTTCTCGCTACAGAAAATCATCAAATCACAAAGGAAGAGAGCAAGAAAAAAAGGAACAAGGGAATTATGAGATAGCCAGAAAACAATTAATAAAATGACAATAAGTCCATACCTATCAGTAATTATTTTAAATGTAAATGGACTAACCTCTCCAATTAAAAGACACAGAGTGGCTTGAATGCTCTCATACATGCTGAAAAGAGTATGTTGTTACAACTCTTATGAAATATAATTTAGTAATATCTAAAACAATTTTTAAATCACATGAACTTTGATTTAGAAATTCTACTTTGAGAAATTTATCTTGCAGACATATGCATACATGAAATACAGCAAATGTACAAGAATATCCATTGCAACATTGTTTTTAATAATGAAAAATATTGGAAATAATGTCCATGTCCCTCAATAGAATACAAATACAATGTTTGGCATAAAATTAAAGACAACCAGACATAAGGAGAGATAAGATTACAAAAACAAGAAACAACAGAAAAAATAGATTATAGTATATCTATTACTGTAGTGATAGCATTTAATGCTATGAAACACCTTTTCCAATGAATTCAGTAAAAACAAAGGTATAGAATAAGTGGATAGCATGCTACTAATTTTGAACTATGCATATATTTCCAATTTTGAAAATAAAATAATTTAATTTTAGTAAATGACACAAAAAACCTTTCTAGATGTTTTCCACTGCATAGAAAATAAACTCCAAATTCCCTAATGTGACACAAAAAAATTCACTATCTGAACCTCATTTATTGTTTTAGCTTGTATCTTGCCTTTTCACTGTAATATTCTATACTCTAGCCGCAACATAAACATAAAAACAATGCATAGTTCTCAAAATTCAACTTTTCTCTCAATTCATACTTATATATCTTTATCACTTGAAAAATTAAGATAATGCTTTCTTCATAGGGATGCAGTAAGAATTGATATAATGCAAGCAAAGTACACCAAAGCTCATTAACTGCTATTTTTGGAAATGGCAGACAGGGTGATTTAGACCAACTCTCCCTTTAAAGACCTACTAGATAAACTGAAAAATACAAAAATTAATCTGCTAAAAGAAATCTGAGTGCTAACAATGTAGTCAAGAATTTCGGAGCCAACAGAAATAAACCCACAATTACATGGTCAATTAATCTTTGACAAAAAAGGCAAGAATATGCAATAGAAAAAAACATTCTCTTCAACAAGTGGTGCTGGGAAAATTGGACAGCTACATGCAAAAGAATGAAACTGCACCACTTTCTTACACCAGAGACAAAAATAAACTAGAAATGGATTAAGGACCTAAATGTGAGACTAAAACCATAAAACTCCTACAAGACAGCACAGTCAGTAATTTCTCAGACATTGGCCATAATCGTATCTTTCTGGATATGTCTCCTGAGGCAAGGGAAACAAAAGCCAAAGTAAACTATTGGGACTATATCAAAATAAGAAGGTTCTGCACAGCAAAAAAACAAGCAACAAAACTAAAAGACAACCTACTGAATGAAGAAGATATCGGCAAATGACATAGCTGATAAAGGGTTGATATCAAAAATATATAAGGAACTGATACAACTCAAAACCAAAAAACAAATAATCCAATTTAAAAATGGGCAGAAGACATGAACAGATATTTTTCCAAAGACATCCAGATGGTTAACAGACACATGAAAAAATGCTCAACATCACTCATCATCAGGGAAATGCAAATCAAAACTACAATGAGATATCACCTCACACCTGTCAGAATGACTAAAATCAAAACCACAAGAAACAAGTGTTGGCGAGGATATGGAGAAAAAGGAATCCCCGTGCACTGTTGGTGGGAATGCAAACTGTGCAGCCACTCTAGAAAACAGTATGGAGTTTCCTAAAAAAGTTAAAAATAGGGCACCTGGGTGGCTCAGTCGTTAAGCATCTGCCTTCGGCTCAGGTCATGATCCCAGGGTCCTGGGATCAAGCCCCGCATCAGGCTCCCTGCTCAGCGGGAAGCCTGCTTCTCCCTCTCCCACTCCCCCTGCTTGTGTTCCCTCTCTCGCTGTGTCCCTCTTTGTCAAATAAATAAATAAAATCTTTAAAAAAAAAAAAAGTTAAAAATAGAACTACTCTACAATCCAGCAATTGCACCACTAGATATTTACCCCAAAAATACAAAAACACTAATTCATATATGTATATTGTACACAATAGCCAAATTATGGAAACAGCCCAAATGTCCAGCAATAGATGAATGGATAAAGAAGATGTGGTATACATACACAATGGAATATTACTCAGCCATAAAAAATGAAATCTTACCATTTGCAACGTCATGGAAGGAGCTAGAGAGTATAATGTTAAGCAAAATAAGTCAGTCAGAGAAAGACAAATACCAAGATTTCACTCATATGTGGAAGTTAAGAAACAGTACAAACATGCAAAGGAAAAAAGAGAGAGACAAACCAAGAAACACACTCTTAACTATAGAGAATAAACTGATGGTTACCAAGGGGAGGTGGGGGGGGAATGGGTGAAATAAGTGTTGGGGATTAAAAAGTACACTTACGATGATAAGCACTGAGTAATCTATAGAATTATTGAATCACTATATTGTACACCTGAAACTAATATAACACTGTACGTTAACTGCACTGGAATTACAATAAAAAACTTTTAAAAAGGTAATATAACTGACAATATAAAAAAAAGAAGCGGTTTATATTTACAATGGAATATTACTCAGCCATAGAAAAGAATGAAATCTTGCCACCTGCAACAACACAGATAGATCTAGAGAGTGTAATGCTAAGGGAAATAAGTCAGTCAGAGAAAGACGAATACCACAATTTCACTCATATGTGGAAGTTAAGAAACAAAACAAACAAGGAAAAAAAAGAGAGAGACAAACTAAAGAAACAGACCCTTAACTTTAGAGAATAAACTGAGGATTACAGAGGTGGGTGGGGGGATGGGTGAAATAGGTGAAGAGGATGAAGAGTACACTTCTCTTGATGAGCCGTGAGTAATACATGGAACTATTCAAGCACTATAAACTAATATAAACTGAAACTAATATAATACTGTAAGTTAACTACACTGGAGTTAAAATTAATAATAATAATAACAATAATAATAATAATAATAATAATAATAATAAATTTTTAAAAAGGAATTCTGGGGCCAAAACTCATTGAGGAAAACAAAATTCCCAGAGGTGAGGATTCTGGGAAGATGTCAGAGTAGGAAGCACCAGGAACCTGCCTCCCCCCTAAACAACAATTGCACTGGCAGAATCTAATGTAACTCTTTTGGAACCCTGGAGTCTTAAGGCTTTCACCTTCCAGGGGAAGGCTTGCAGAGTAAATTGGGTTCATTTTGGTCAATTAGAGTTGCTAACACAATAGCAGCAGCTAACCTTCCCTACCCCCAGCCCTGTGGCAGACAGCTGTGCATGTGTTCTGGAGCATTCTGCATACAGCTGCAAAAGCCAGGGCGAGCAGAAAAGACCCTGTCTACCAAATCTCAGGGATCTGAGCTCTGATCTCTGATTGCTGCTGCAGATCACAGAGGTGCAGACAAGGCAGGTGGCCACTGTGGTTGCTCCACGTGGTTGCAAGCCCAGTCCCCTTCAGGCTGAAGGGACTTCCAGGAACTTAAAGAGACATTGACCTTTTTACCCCCAATCTTCATTTTTCTCTTTTTCCTCCTTTTAGAAGGCAGACATGAAAGATTAGGACATTCAAAAGCAAAATGCATTTGTAGGGAAAAATTAGAAAGTGACCACACATGCCCAGGAAAAGGCACATACTAGAGAGGACCTAAGAAGGCCCTAAGTTTTACCTCAGGCTGATCCTTGGCACAGTCTACAAGTAAAAAAAAACAAAAAACAAAAAACAAAAAACATTAAAGATAAGTTAAAAATGGTGAACTTTGTGTTAGTGATTTTATCCCGAAGGAAAACAAAAGAATAAAAATGAAGTAATAAATTAGTGGGACCAGCAGATCCCACACCAAAGTTAACACCAAAGGGTATTTTTTTAGGTTGACGGAAAATAATCCCATTTGAAATAAAGAACAGTGAAAAGAGTACCTATGTGGGCAAATCTAAATGAATAAGGTAATATGCTGTGTTAAATAATGACAAAATTCTTGACAGTCTTATGAGCTTGCAAGTTTGAGAAATACCGAACAGGGCCAAGTAAGAACTGGAGGGAAATCTTCTCAGAAGTCTTTTGACCATACAGCTCATAAAAGGGTGGAGATCAGAGGCACCATCTATTTCAAATGACTAATCTCAGGAGTTCTGTTCCTAATTCAGAGTATGCATGACTCTAACACCTATCAGTGAAATATGTAAGGAACTCCTATTAAAAAAAAATCAATGTATTCAGTTTTCAATTTCTATTTAATTTTTCAATTCCTCAAAAATCTTACCATTGCAGAATAACACTTGGCACATAAAAAGCAGTACCTACCCTTTCTCAATCACATCATCCTTCGAAGAAATTAGATACAAAGACTTGCTCCTCCAAGGTTTTTGAACTGCTGTTTTTACTCGAGGTGGTTTCTTGGGAGATTTAGGACTTTGTAATAAACTGGATTCTTCTTTCTAAAAAATGGTAAAAAAAAATACACAAAGTGAAAAATGAGCAATACAAAGGGGAAAAAAAAGAGCCAGAGAATAAAGCATAGCTCTGCCCATCACTAGAGGATTTCTTCTCTCAGTCTACCGCCTACCATGCTTCCCATTAGAATACAAATGTACTGCTTCCTAAACTCCTGCTTTTATACAACCAGCAGGCTGAACCCCCTACAACTCTTTAGAATATAAGAAGAGAAAGGCCAAAGGTTTATATATCCTTATTCATAGCACTGTGAAAGAAGACTCTTTCCTAGAGGGAGAACTTCGCAAAAACTTCTTTATTCTCTAACTGCATAGGTTTTAGTACATCTGAGGGGTGGGAGTAGGGGGCTGGGGAAGGGGGGTGGCAGGGCAGGGAAAGGAAGCAAGGATACAACTGGTCCATAATAAAGACCTATACCTTAACAAAACTATCTCCTTCCATTTTGGACATTTTATTTTTGTGGTTATTATTCCCATCCTTAAATGTTATTTATGATAGAGTTAACTATTTGGTAAAAGCCACATGCACAAATTAAAAAAAGTATAAACGCTTAAAGGTCCAAATGTAGGAAAAAGAAACAATGATCTGAGTATGGGATATACATAAATGTAACATTACATAACACTTGAAAGTAAGGATTATGGGGGCGCCTGGGTGGCTCAGTCGTTAAGCGTCTGCCTTCGGCTCAGGTCATGATCCCAGGGTCCTGGGATCGAGCCCCGCATCGGGCTCCCTGCTCAGCGGGAAACCTGCCTCTCCCACTCCCACTCCCCCTGCCTGTGTTCCTGCTCTCACTGTGTCTCTGTCAAATAAATAAATAAAATCTTTAAAAAAAAAAAAGTAAGGATTATGAAATTATGACATATGGAAAAATGTGATGAAGATGTTAAAAGAAATAATCAGAATACAAAAGTGTAAGTACATTGAAATTAAAAATTCACAACAAGACCAAGAGAAAATAAGTAATAGTTGTCTACAAGTAGGTGAGATCAGAGGTGATTTGTTTAGGGAGCCCCTGGGTGGCTCAGTCGTTAAGCGTCTGCCTTCGGCTCAGGTCATAATCTCAGGGTCCTGGGATCGAGCCCCAAATTGGACTCCCTGCTCAGCCCCTTCCCCCACTCATGCTCTCTCTCAAATAAATGAATAAAAGCCTTTAAAAAAAAAGTGATTTGTCTTCAGTTTCCAAATTTACAGTAGTTTTGTCATTTTATAATTTGGAAAAAAAAAGTCAAATATGTCAACTTCTACTGGAATGTAATATATGTTGCTGGAGAGCAAGGAATATATTTGTGATGTTTTATTATCCAGAACAAACAATAAAATCTTATATACACTCTAGGTGCCGAACAACTACTAATATTTTTTTAAGAATTCCGTAAACAAAATTACTTACTTAAGTATGATTTACACATAACTTCCTAGGTATCAGGGCTTACATCTGTTTTAGTCATTCAGAACACGGCGTGACATTAAGCAACACTCAATAAATGAGTGGTACCACAGGGGGCTGAGCTTATTAAAAGTATCATACGAAGTGGTCAAATTCATAAAAACAGAACGTTGAATGGTGGTTACCAGGGGCTGCAGGAGGAGAAGGGAAGTGGTTTAATGGGTATGTAGTTTCAGGTCCACAAGATAAAAAAGTTCTGGGGATCTGTTTCACAACAATGCAAGTATACTTACTACTGAAGTGTATACTTGAAAATGCTTAAGGTGGTAAATTTTACATGTTTTTTTACCACATTGAAACAAGTTTTCTTAAAACAAAATAAAAAAATTAAATGTCTTATACAGAGAAAAGCCTAAGTTAGAATTTTAGGCCTTTCTGGCTTGGGTGAAAACTAGAAGGGTATCCAGAAAATCCCCGATGGAGAAGAAACTAAAAGGACCCTGTGGAATTGGGGGTGGGGTGGGGTAGGTAAAAGCACTGTTCTAGGGCGCCTGGGTGGCTCAGTCGTTAAGCGTCTGCCTTCGGCTCAGGTCCTGATCCCGGGGTCCTGGGATCGAGCCCCGCATCGGGGTCCCTGCTCCGCGGGAAGCCTGCTTCTCCCTCTCCCACTCCCCCTGCTTGTGTTCCCTCTCTCGCTGTCTCTCTCTCTGTCAAATAAATAAAATCTTAAAAAATAAAAAAAATTAAAATTAAAAATAAAATTAAAAAAAAAAAGCACTGTTCTATATCGTGATTATGATGGCAGTTACACAATGGATATGTCTGTCAAAATTCACAAAACTGTACACCAAAAAGGGTAAACTTTACTGTCTATAAATTACACCTTAACACCGCTTGTGGAGCCCAAAGTGGGGCTTGGACTCAGGACCCTGAGATCAAGACCTGGGCTGAGATCAATCTCTCCCCACTCCTCTGGCATTGCTGTCCTTCAAGTTCCTTTCCCTAACCACACCACTTACTCTATCTTGCCACTTACCTCCCAAATGTCGTACAAATGTTATTTGTACAAACATTTCTATGTTATCAGAATACGTGCTCCCAACACGACACCTCTAAGACGTATATTAACTGGTCACAGGGGCGAATGGGGGAAGATTAGATTTATAGTGAAGTGGCAGAGAAAAAAGCCACACGGTGCAAAGGAGGTCAGGAAAATATCAAAACAGAGAGGAAATCATTAGTGGGCTAAAGTGACACTAATTCAGAGTGTGGTCCTCAAACCCGCAGCAAGACATCACCTGGGAGGAAGCTTGTTGAAAATGGCAAATCCGTGGGCCCCACACCAGATCTCCTGACTTTAGATATTCAGGTGAAGCCCAGGAATCTATTTTTTTTAAAGATATTATTTATTTATTTGACAGAAAGAGAGAGCAGAAGCAGAGGGAGAGGGAGAAGACTCCCCAGTGAACAGGGAGCCCAATGTGGGGCTCCATCCCAGGACCCCGGGATCATGACGTGAGCTGAAGGTAGACACTTAACCAACTGAGCCACCCAGGCGCCTGCCCAGGGATCTATTTTAACAAGCTCTTTGGATGACTCTTATGCATATACGCTGAAGCTTCAGAACCACCAGGTTACCTCAGTGCTTTGAATACCAATCCTCTAGCAATCCTATCAAAACGTGGGTTCCAGAATGTGACAATTGTGTTCAGGCAGGTTGAAAGCCTCAGTTCTAAGCCAACCTCCTGATTTTACAGAATGATTCTGACCCATTCCAGAGCAATTAAATCAGAATCTCTGAAGGTGGAACCCAGCCATCAGTAGGTCTTAATGAAAAGCTCTCTATGTGATTCTAATGTGCACCTAGGGCTAAGAAACCACTGACAGAGAAAACATGAAAAGTCTCTTCAGCTCTCAAACACGACTTGTTGAAGTCAAACTTTAAGAACTGTTCTATATCTCTCTACCTTTTAAAATAAGATACCCTGAACAGAAAATAATCTCTTTAGAAGGGGTTGTGTGTGACTATGGCTGGTAACACTTAACATTCTGTGACACATTTAAAGGCTATTAAGAGGGGCGCCTGGGTGGCTCAGTCAGTTAATCATCTGCCTTCGGCTCGGGTCATGATCCCGGGGTCCTGGGATCCAGCCCTATGTCAGGGTTCCTGCCAGCAGAGAGCCTGTTTCTCCCTCTCCCTTTGCCTGCTGTTCCCCCTGCTTGTGCTCTCTCTCTCTGTCAAATAAATAAATAAAAATCTTTTAAAAAATAAAAAATAAGGGGCGCCTGGGTGGCTCAGTCGTTAAGCGTCTGCCTTAGGCTCAGGTCATGATCCCAGGGTCCTGGGATCGAGCCCCGCATCGGGCTCCCTGCTTCGCGGGAAGCCTGCTTCTCCCTCTCCCACTCCCCCTGCTTGTGTTCCCTCTCTCACTGTCTCTCTCTGTGTCAAATAAATAAATAAAATCTTTTAAAAAATAATAAAATAATAAAAAATAAATAAATAAAGGCTATTAAGATTAAGAAGACTCTTTACTCCTGAAATGCACGTTTTGGCTACAAAGTATGTAGGGTTATTTACTTCTTCTGTATAAAGTTGAACTTCCCTTTTCTTTTTTGCCTTTGTCCTTATCTTTTTGTACTATTTTATTCTCCCCCATTATAAAAAGTACTCACTACTTTTAATTCTGCTGTTGCTACTTCTCATTCATTCATTCATATTTATTTATTTTTTTTTTAATTTTTTTTTTTTTTAAGATTTTATTTATTTGCGAGAGAGAGAATGAGAGACAGAGAGCATGAGAGGGAGGAGGGTCAGAGGGAGAAGCAGATTCCCCGCCGAGCAGGGAGCCCGATGCGGGACTCGATCCCGGGACTCCAGGATCATGACCTGAGCCGAAGGCAGTCGCTTGACCAACTGAGCCACCCAGGCGCCCATTCATTCATTCATATTTATTAAGCAACTATCATGTGCCGGGCACTTTGGGTAAGTGCTGATATTCCAGTAGGAGACTCTAAGGCAATAAACATTAATCACGTGGTCATGAGTACTATCAAGCAAAATCAAGCACAGCAGAGGGCTGAGGGCTTGCACAGTGATGGAGGGCATCTGTGCCATCCTATGCAAGTGTGCTCATACGGAAATGTCAAGGACAGCCTCTCGGAATACGCGATGCTCGAACACACACCTAAAGTGAGTGAGGGGACAAGCCACATAGATAGCTGGAAGAACAGTGCTCTGCGTGAAGGGGACAACAAATGCACCACTTCCCAATTTTTGCATGGTGTGTTCCAAGAACAGCAGAGAGGCCAGTGTGGTTGCAGTAGACCAGGCTCGAGAAGAATGGTAGGAAATGAGGTCAGGAGGTCAGCAGGGGTGTGTATAGCTGTGTAAAGACCTGGGATTTTATTCTGAGTGAGAGAGGAGGCCCCTAGGGAATCCTGAGCCGGTGAGTGACCTGATCATATATTTTTAAAGGCTCACTCTGGTCGCTTGGTGGAGAACAGACCATGGGTTTTCTTAACTCATAACTGTTGCAGGATGCACATTAACAACAACCCCCCCAAAAAAGCTTATTATAAAACTTAAGTATTAGTGCACAAAACCCAAGCATAGATATTTTATCATAAACTTAATAAAGAAGTCAAAGTATCAATGTCTACCCAACCTGCATAACAGGTATCTGTGGAATGCAAGATTGAGGTCTTAATGGCAAGAGGGTTGCCATTTGTGGAAATGGGTCAACATCCTTCCTTGGTTTCTCCTGACGGAGGTGCCAGAATTTCAGTTCAGCACCAGCATGTTTTGCTGAGGATGAATGAGTAACACAGAATCTTGGTGCCCTAATCCAAGGAAAAACAAATTTCAGATTAAGCTAGACAATAAGCCTCAAAAATCGAAAGCCTACAAAATCTAGAATGCCAATGCTCACAATGATCAGTCTTACCAAATCCTTTTTCTAAAAATTCCCACTTTTTTTCTGCTGCCTCGCCTTAAAAAAAATGTTTGTCTACGATATATCAACTGCCTGAAATCACACTCACTCATATAAAGAGGCAATATACACTAGGAAAAAAAACAATAAAATTACATTCAAATTACTATCTGTTTGATAAGAAAAAGAAATCTATATATCTATTGTATTGAAGGAATTTTTAAAAATAACTTACAGTTTCTAGTAAAATAAACATAAAATGCGTATCTGGCCATTTTAAAGCAGTAAAAAGAGGGGGCATATGCACCCCAATGTTCATAGCAGCAATGTCCACAATAGCCAAACTGTGGAAGGAACCGAGATGCCCTTCAATGGACGAATGGATAAAGAAGATGTAGTGTGTGTGTATATACACACACATATATATATATATATGTATATACACAATGGAATATTATTCAGCCATCAGAAAGGATAAATACCCACCATTTGCATCGACATGGATGGAACTGGAGGGGATTATGCTAAGTGAAATAAGTCAAGCAGAGAAAGACAATTATCATATGGTTTCACTCATATGTGGAACATAAGGAATAGAGCGGAGGACCACGGGGAAGGGAGGGAAAACTGAGTGGGAAGAAATCAGAGAGGGAGAAAAGCCATGAGAGTCTCTGGACTCCGGGAAACAAACTGAGGGTTACAGAAGGGAGGGGGGTGGGGGATGGGGTAAGTGCGTGATGGGCATTAAGGAGGGCATGTGTTGGGATGAGCACTGGGTGTTATACGCGACTAATGAATCGTTGAACACTACATCAAAAACTAATGATGTACTATAGGTTGGCTAACTGAACATAATAAAAAAAACTGGTAGATGAAATTCACATTTTAAAATATAAAGACATTTGTATAATGTTTAACTATACTACTAAAGTGGATTTTGATCCATATGCTCTATTTTCAAGCCTTAAATTTAAAGATAAGAATTAGTTTTACAACAATTTATATAAATGACAGACCAACACTACTTCCAGAAACCCAGGAAAAAGAATGTTTGGCACAATGTCAAGGCCGTGCTTAATTGGATGGCTATCCTGGTATTTAGTCTATGGGCTCTTTATTGGCTACAGGGCCAACCCCAGCTGTCAGGCCTGATGCTATTTGCAGCTTGGACCAGGTTTCCTCCCTGATGCCACAGCCCAAAGACAAATTCTCACTCCATATTTCAGGTCCTGGTAGAAACAACAACAACAACAAAAACAACAACAACAACAAAACTGCCTCCCTTTAAAACAGGAAGAAAGCAGATATTCCCCTGATGTGAACACAGGTTGGGAGTGGAAGAAAATCCAAAGTTCATAATTAGTTTAGATTCAGAGAGAACACTATAGATCTAGGTGGTCATCCTAACTATATTTCAGAACCTTTACTTGCATACTTGGAAATATCCAAAATGACCTCTTATTCTCATGTCAACCAGTAAGTGGGAATATCTACAAGATCCTTATCCAATAAAGCATACATGTGCTGGCCAGAAAATCTAAGTGTCTCAATTTTCTGATTTCCATCATTATACTATACTCATATGGACCCCCATAAGTCTCTGCTTATCTAAAAGTCTCTGCTCATCTAAAATGCCCCTATCAATTTAATCTTGCATTATTATTTCACTCATAGCATTAATTTTTTATTAGCCACTATGTAACTTCATCAAATATTGTGGAATAAGTTTCACAGTCAATCATAAACTGGTGTTGTATTATTTTTCATGCTTCCATCATATGAGTTCTCATGTACACGGCACACAACTTAATTCTCAAGCTCTAGAGGGTGGGAGAAGGTATGTCACATAATACGATCAAAGAAACTGTATTCAATATGATGTGTGTGTGTGTGTGAGTATGTACATATGTGTGTGCATATATATCCCAATAGAAAAATGCGCAAATGAGATAAACAAGCAATTAATGAAAACTGAAATCCAAATGACCAAATGACTGATCATGGAGAAGATTATCAGCCTCACTAGTACTCAGGGAAATGCCAGTTACAACCACATGACACCAATAACAAACTAAACACATACGCAAAAATTTAAAAGTTTGACAATATTAAATGCTACCATGGATTTACAACAATGGGCACTCTCTTATTCTGTGGATGAGAGCATAAATGGATACAACTGCTGTAGAAAAATGGATATGTGTACAAGAATATACATTACAGCACTGCTTTTAATTGTGAAAAGTAGGGAACAACCCAAATGTTTAAAAAAAAAATAGCAATTACGGTATATTCATGCAGAATACCAATAAACAACAATGAAAATCAATAAAACTCTTAAACACAATTACAGACAATTCTCTCATGTAATGTTGATAGAAGACACAAAAGAATGCATACAACAGGATTCCATTTATATAAAGTTGTAGAACAGAGAAAAGTATATGCTTAAGGATTTATTTGCATACACGGTTGGTAAAACTATAAAGAGAAGTAAGAGGATGATAATCACAAAAGTCAGGATAGTGGTTACCTCCAAGGGGGAGTGAGGGTGTTGTGATCGATAAGGGACCTTCAGGGGTCTTGGCAATGCTTTATTTCCCAGCCCACGTAGTGGTTACATAAGTATTTGCTTCATGATATTCATTAAATCGTTGTTTGTTTTGTTTCTTAAATTCCACATATGAATGAAATATATAGTATTTGTCTTTCTCTAACTGACTTTAAGGAAGGCAAAAGATTTAATAATCTTGTCATTTTAAATCTCAGTAAATTATAAATCGGTAAGACAAAAAAGTATAACTCGTAACCTGCCTAGGAAAAGTAAAAGCAAATAAGTTTGATTCACATTATTTTTCTCACCAATATAGAAGTAAGGGTTTTACAACCTCAGCCTGAATATTTCTTAAGTGTTCTTCATTCCACTGAGATGCGTCTAGCAGTTTAAATTTTGATAATATTTCTGCAGAAAGGTAGCAATCTCCATTGCTTACTAGATAGCATTTTTTCATCTTCTCAAGATGTCTAAAACAAAACAAATCCACGCACATTGCTATGACATTCAACAAACCAAATGTTTTCACTTTTAAGATGTTTCAGACAAGTAATGAACTAACTCAAACACTGAGTTACAGGAATACCAATGTGGAGATAAAAATATTTTTTACAATTATGGGAATAAGAAGGATATTTTTGGTAGTTTGAACAATGGTCTTCCAAAGATGTCCATGTCCTAATTCCCAGAATCTCTGAACGTTACCTTACATGGTCGAAGGCATTCTGCAGATGTGATTAGGATTTTTTTTTTTAAGGATTCTATTTATCCATTTGAGAGAAAGAGAGAGGGACAGAGCGAGCACGAGCAGCGGGGAGAGGCACCCAGGGAGAGGCAGACTTCCTGCTGAGCTGGGAGCCCAACATCGGGCTTGACATGGAGCTTGACCCCAGGACCTGGAGATCACGACCTAAGCCGAAGGCAGGCGCTTAACCATCTGAGCCACCCAGGCGCCCCAATGTGATTAGGATTTTGAGAAGATTATCCTAGATTATCTAGATGGCCCTAATGTAATCACAAGGGTCCTTCTAAGAAGGAGGCAGGAGGGTGAGTCATTGAGAAAAGATGTGCGGATAGAAGCAGACCTCAGAGAGAAGATGCTACATTGCTGGCTTGAAGATTGAGGAAAGGCCATGAACAAAGGAAAGTAGGTGACCTCTGGAAGCTGGAAAAAGAAAGGAAACGAATTCTCCCCTAGAGCCTCCAGAAAGAATGTAGCCCTACCCACCCATGTTAGACTTACTAATTCCAAACTGTGACAGAATAAATTTATGTTGCTTTAAAAGACTAAGATACTAATATACATCTTCCATGTAATCAAAGTTACAATAAAATCACTAATATTTATACAAAGGCTTTAAGAAGATACTATGTGAACTTTATTTAAAAGTCAGTAAAGTGGGGAGCCTGGGTGCCTCAGTCCTTAAGCGTCTGCCTTCGGCTCAGGTCATGATCCCAGGGTCCTGGGATCGAGCCCCGCATCGGGCTCCCTGCTCCGCAGGAAGCCTGCTTCTCCCTCTCCCACTCCCCCTGCTTGTGTTCCTGCTCTCGCTGTCTCTCTCTCTGTCAAATAAGTAAATAAAATCTTTTTTAAAAAGTCAATAAAATCCTAGAAATATAAAAAATAAATAAATAAAAATAAAAGCCATTAAATTTGTGGCAATCTGCTACAGCAACAACAGGAACTAATACAGGATTGCTCCTGAAGAATTTATATAGGTTGCTTGCATATAACTTCCTTAATATATCTTGAAAAGTGGTAGTGGCTTTCTACTCCATGATCCATCAACTCATGGCTGCATAATCAACCATTTGATAACCCCTGATCCTATAAGTATGCACAAAAATGAGCTCTATGATCTGAATGCCATTGAAATAAGTGGAATAACCCAGTTACTAGTATACACTCAGTCAAATCCTTCCTGGGAATTGCAGTCTACTGTATTGATCTGCTTCAGAGCAGAAAGGAGAACATAGACAGGATAAAAACCTTCCTAAAGCAGGGTCCTCTTAAGGTTGTTAAGACTTACCATAATCTAAAACACATGGGATAGGCAAATAAGGACCTGGACCCATCAGACAACCAGGAGGCTCTCTAGAGGATATGTGGCATATCTAGGAGATATCTTATTCAGATATGAATGTCCAAGTGGCATCCAACCAAAGATCACGGGATTTGTTAACTGAGCAGGCTGCTAGGAACAGCAGTCTCTTACCATGGCATAAGGTACATTTTATATAAGGTGTCTGAAGTCAGTGTGGTTATATAACAGAAAAATTATTTTCTCTAAAAAATATATCACTACAGTGTTATAAAAATAAGACAGAATGATTGATTTGAAAGCAGGTTTAGAATCCGTGGGAAAAAACATATGTGAACCCAAACGCCACTATTTGTATCTGATAATTACAAAATCACAGAACTAGTAAAATCAGTATTATTATAATAAAATAAATGTTATTATTCATTTCTAAAAGTATAAATTACATTTTTATCTTTATTTCAGGCTTTCTGCCTGTGCTTAAGGAACCCAAACTAATATTCCATAATTAAAAAAAAAAAAAAACAACTATTGAAAGTAAAAACTAGACATACCTTTGATGTCTTCTGGGGTCCTTAAGGACTTTCAACCTCTCAATATCCATCCATAATGACCAATATCTCTCTCCTAATGTATCTTTTATAAATTTCTTAAATCTTTCAAACTCCTTTCTATTGCCAATATCGTAAGCTTTGTGAGACATACACCAATCAGCCCTGGTTTCTGGTCCAATGCTCTCACTCTTTGAACTTGCTTGTTCTAACATCTCTTCTGACTTTTCACTTGTGATTTGAAATGTTTCACTTAACAAAACATTCCTGCCAGGGATAGGCTCAAAACCCTCCTCAAGCACCACTTCTGTTACCTTGTTGAAATTTATATAATCTGGGCTTTCCATCAGTGGCTCATCAAAAATTTGATGAATTGCTACTCTCAATATAAAGGTTACATAAGATCTTAAAAATTCTTCCCATGTTGAGAAATTCAATATAAGGCTTTCATCAGCATCCTGTTGCCTCTCAAGGTATATTCTCAGAAGGGCTTGAGAAGGAGTGTCTTGTAGAGAGATGGACCCAATGTCTTCTTCTTCTTCTTCTTCAAAATGAGAAGTTAATCTAATGGTTTCAGATGAGTCCCTTTTTATCCTCGGGTGAATTCCATCATCAAAGATAAAGCTGTCTGCATTAAATCATAAAGGGCTATTAGATCAGATATGAATACAAAGTTGCTTTTATTATTAACTAGATGTTGCAGAGCCAGCATGGTAAGTGGGTTTGGCACAGGTAGGCACTTCGGGTACAGAAGGGGGAGTTCTGAAGCTACATTTGATACCACTAGAGAAAAAACTGCTAACAGGATTGGCCATGTCTTCCTTGGACATGGAAGTGGATAATGGTGGCAGATGAATGAAATATTTGACATCCCTATTACAGAGGATCATCAAAAAGACATTATGCGCTTTTAAAATGTCGTATTTGAGGCTGATATAGAATGTCCATATGTAAAGGCCAAATCTATTAAACAATTGTTTAATGTACATATTCTAATATGTCATGCTATAATATAAAATTAGACAATCAATGAACAAATCAGAACTGGAGTCATATCAGGAATTTTTAAAAATTCACTATTTTAACCAAAAGATTCAATTGCTATCATACTTACAACCTACTATCAAAATTACAAAATGGCATAAGGTACTTATGAAGGCTTACAAATACAAATGGATTGTTTCACACTTTCTCTAAAGACATGTAGTCTTTATTTAGACTTATTTATTTTCTCCTTATTTAGGAATCGGTGAAATATCTGATGTCAGTGCTTTATTTCACATGGCAAATCTACCGCTTGAAATGCCACAGAGCAGGAAAACTGTTGTCATCTGTTTCCCCACTTCAATGGCCATTTTCTCAGTAATAGTTTCAAATCCCAGTGAACTGGAAGTGTTTTATTACAATTTTTATTGAAAATGAAGATACTGGGGCGCCTGGGTGGCTCAGTTGGTTAAGCGACTGCCTTCGGCTCAGGTCATGATCCTGGAGTCCCAGGTTCGAGTCCCGCATTGGGCTCCCTGCTCAGCGGGGAGTCTGCTTCTCCCTCTGATCCTCCCCCATCTCATGTTCTCTCTCTCTCTCATTCTCTCTCTCAAATAAATAAATAAATAAAATCTTTAAAAAAAAAAAAAAAGAAAATGAAGATACTAAGTCCCCCCAATATTAAGAGACTAGACTTTTGTAAACCTATGAAAAGATGCTGGGTATACACTCAATCCCACAGAAGTGGAGGGAGAGAGCAAGGCCCGCATTTCTGTTCACCACCCTCCTGCTACCCTTTCTCTACCCTTTCACTATCTTTGCTCTCCAATTTTCTACTTTACTATTTGGGGGAAACAGCAAGAAACCTATAAATTCAGCTATTTGCAATTAAGGAGACTATTTTCCTTCTTTACCTAGATTTAGGTTCAATTCTAGAGAACCCAGATTTAATGTCCTCAGAGGTTGCTTACACTTTTCAAAAGAATTAGGAACTTAGTGAATTGCTAAGTTCCTCTCCTGAGTCACATTGCTAGATTTTTTCCTCTAGCAATATCATGTTAAGGACACCCACTTCTGAAAGTTTCCTCCTATATCTATGAAAAGTTGGTATCGTCCACAAAAGTTCCCCACGGTAGAAATGTATCTGTTTTTCAAGGAGAAAAACAAGTCTGAACTTAGAAGGAAAACTCAAGTTGCATGAACGACTATGTACTTTCAAGAGGAGAGAAAAGTTCCGCCCACTTAATTTCAAATATTTAATAATAAGAATCTGTAAACTGTCACAGGAAGTAAAGACAAGACAAACATTTACCGACTGCCTATGAGGGACCCGGCACTAGGCCAGGCCTCTTCTAGACATTTAGTGTGTATCATTATTCTCATCTTACAGATAAGAAAAGCAAGGCTCTCAAGAAGTGGAATAACTTTAAAAAGTCACACAGCTAATAAGCATTAACCCATCTAAACCCATTCTCTTTTTCCTATGCCCCGTTGCCTCTCAAAAAACAGCAGAGGGGTGCCTAGATGGCTCAGTCAGTTAATTAAGCATCTGACTTTTGATTTCGGCTCAGGTCATGATCTCAGGGTTGTGAGATCCAGCTCCACAGTGGGCTCTACGCTCAGCAGGGAGTCTGCTTGAGATTCTCTCTCCCTCTGCCCCTCCCCCTGCTCTATTTCTCTCTCTCTAAAATAAATAAATAAATCTTTAAAAATAAAAACAGTGGAAAGTGAAGTGGGGGGGCGGGTAGGAATGGAGATTATTTTTCTCCCCCACCACTATGTGTTGTACTGGAAGATTAGAACACCAATAACCAAGGATTTAAGGAGTTTTGAAATCATTCTTGTCCTTTCTGCTTACCAGAAACAGATGAAACAACCGGTGTTTCACGTTTGCTGTGGACTACACAAGATGGCAATGAAAACGTCGATGCTGTTTGAAGACTCTGTTTGGCTAATGCAAACCAATCTTTTGTTTGAGTATAGGAGGCCTAGGAAGAAAGGTGCACCTTGGTTTAACATTAAGATCAGCAGTGTTCTCCCAGTCGCAGACCTTGACACGTCACTAGAATGTTAAATTTGCATAGTGCAATATGAAAGGGAAAACTATGCCATGAAAGAAAAGAAAAATTCATTATTTGAGAATAATGGGAAGGAAATTTCAACTCAGATTATCTGGATATTAGATGACCAAAGGTAAAATGAGCCCCAAATCCATCAAATCCTTCCCCACTCTTCCACCGGAGGCATGCAACCCTACTTGCCCGCTTCATTATAGAGTCAGGCCACCTCACCGTATCTTGGCAGTCACATGGCTCATCAGTTCTTGGCTCCATCCTTTGCCAGCTACTCCCACATTTACAACTTCCCAATTATTCCCTGCCCCTAATTCTGTCTGATCTGGCTCCGCGTTTTTTACAACACCTCCCTAATATGACAGACTTACTCTTAGGAGCACTGAAAACCTCCCCAAGCTCAACTGCCCCTTTGCCATAAATTCAGTTTTCACAGCTTTTCTTGGATTGTACGCTCCCTGAAAATTGATTCTTGACTCCATCTGCCCCTGGATGGAGCCTTCAATTTTTCCTTTCCTTTGTGCACCCTCAAGCCAGCTGACCCAATTCCCAAGCTGACCTTCAGCTTCCAGAACCCCAGTCCTGAGAAGCCCTTTTCTCAGCTTTCCTGGGAAAATTCCTCTGCCTGCCTCTCTCAGTAATATCCTCAAAATCTTTCTAAAATAATCCAGATTGTTCAACAGAAGCAGAGAGGGGAGTGTCCAGCATTACTCTCCTTTCTCCTTCCTCCAGCTGAGTCAGCAGGTTGGCCCTTAGCCTCAGGAATACTCACAAAATAGGCAGGGTTCAAATGGAATCGGTATTGTTCTCTATGATACAGAATTAGCAGGGCAAGTCAGGCCACACAATGAAACCAAAAAGCAAGAGAGAGAAATGAAAAGTGCCACCTATATAATCACTACCCCTCTTAAAAGTTAGGTTTCCTGGGTGGATAAAAGCTTTGAAAGATTCTAATTTCCTTTTGTTCCCTCTTTTCCTTCCTTTAAAACCAAGTCATTTGGGCACCTGGGTGGCTCAGTTGATTAAGTGACTGCCTTCAGCTCAGTCTCAGGATAGAGTTCCGCATCGGGACTGCTCAGCAAGGAGTCTGCTTCTCCCTCTGACCCTCCCCACTCTCGTGCTCTCTCTCTCTCAAATAAATAAATAAAATCTTTAAAAAAAATAAAACCAAGTCATTTATTATTATATGTTCATTCAACATATATTTATTGAGTGACTACTCTATTCCAAGCAGTATCCTAAGCACTGAGAGAAGGCCAAAATAATGAAGAACTGTTAGGGAATTGAGAGAGGCCAATAAACAAAAGTCCTTGTTATTTCAACTGTGCAAAAAAGATTGCAAAGCAAAAACTAGAGAAGTAGTAAGTAGTCAGTCAGACAAAAAAGTAGGTAACTAGTCCACTTAATATGCTTGAAAGATGAGTCAATTGTTTGTGTTTAGATGTTTAATGAAGACTCAAAGACATATTACCAGTTATCATCATAAAGATTAATCCTTATCTACAGTCATGATTTAAATGATTTAAGGGCTCAAAGAATTTTGAATCCTCAAAGTTCAAGAGCTATTAAGAAGATATTAGTGGGGCAATTGGGTGGCTCAGTTGGTTGAGCATCCAACTCTTGATCTTGGCTCAGGTCATGATCTCAGTGTCATGAGATCAAGCCCTGTGTCAGGCTCCAAGCTCAGTGCAGAGTCTGCTTGTCCCTCTCCCTCCTCCTCTGCCTCTACCCCTGACTCTCTCTGTCTCTCTCTCTCAAATAAATAAATAAAAATAAAATCTTAAAAAAAGGATATTAGAGAGTTATAATCAAGTGGACAGAATTGAGTTTTTTCATCACAGAAAATAGCAAAAGTAAAACTAGCTTAAATTTTACTCTCTTACATTTGCTTTAATTGACATGTGAGGAATCAGATTTATTTCCCTAGATTGATTCTTCCTGTTGTATGTTTACTGACCTGTACTATCAGTACATTTTTTATGACATTCCTGACATTCCTATAATACATAAGAGAAAAAATAAATACTTAAAAATAAGTATAAGAGAGAAGTACAATATGCTTTTCGTACATCCCTAGCATTAGCTCAGTGGAAATAATGCAACTGGCAAAATTTCAAACATTTTTGCCAAATATTACTGATAGAAATACCAAACTACAAAATTAAATCGGAACTACACATGAAAATAAATGGTCAAGTAAGATAGGTTAAGTCTATCTATTCCGACAGAGATGGCAAATAGTTTTCCTTTTGTATGACATCTTTGATCAATTGGAAGTGCTTGCCTAGAGGGCTGTGTTGAAAAGAATTTGGAGCCAAGTCCTAGCTCAGCAGGAAAATTGCCATGATTGATTAGCAATGTCTGTCATGAATGGAAACCAGGAGAGCAGCAACACTTGGGCCACTTATTTGCAATTCCTGGTTTTGTACAGAGTTGTGTATAGGAAATGTGTTCCCAGAAAGAAGACCTGATAATTAGAGGCCAGAGATCAAACAATGGTTTTTACTACACCATGACTCTCCAAAAGGACCTCTGATTCTAGGTTAGATCTCTTTAAATGCACTCATACAACACAGCATTTCTTCATGGAGGACAAATTTATCTGATAACAGTTAAAGGGTCATGCATTTTACTACTGAGGAATAATCTTAACAATAGGGAGGAGAAGACCCAATTTATCATCATTTTGTACAAAAATTATAGATTCCAAACAATGAAAATTTTGCAATGAACAATGAAACCATGGATACAATTCAAGGTACCCTTCCTCGCTTCACGGGTGACACTGAGCATGTTCTTCAATCTTGCATTTGGTTCTCTGTACACATGAGGATAATAATACCAATTACATTTCAGGTGAAAGAGTGCAGAGTAAAGGAGTCAGCATAAATCCACAAAATGTTTTGCTAAATCTGCCTTAGAAGTACTTGAAGTCGGGGCGCCTGGATGGCTCAGTTGGTTAAGCATCTGCCTTCGGCTTAGGTCATGGTCCCGGGGTCCTGGGATCGAGCCCCATGTGGGGCTCCCTGCTCAGTGGGGAGTCTGCTTCTCCCTTTGCCTCTGCTCCTTTCATCTGCTTGTGCACTCTCATTCTGTCTCTCTCAAATAAAAAAATCTTTAAAAAAAGGAAGTACTTGAAGTCATTTCCCCTTTTCAAGTGGTACAAATGAAATTCCTATCCCTAAAATGAGAAGTCTCCTTGAAATGCCAAGTCATGAAGAAACACTCATACTTTTACCTCGCCAAGAGAAATGTAGAACTTTTTCATGATGATAACATTCTCTTCATCAACAACAGGTGGTGGTAGACTGGCTGGTTTTTTCAGGACCCAGGGGGAAAAATCTGCATTGAATGTGATGTTCATGCCTGATACACTCCATCTTACTTGTGAGACCAATTTGGCTAATCTGCATTTTAGAAAACATACAAACTTGAAATAAGTTTCAAATACGGTAGAATTCAGGGGAAAAAAAAAAAACCCTAAAATTTTATTTTATTTTCAAGTCCATCTCCTCACTCTGCACAATGATTCTCTTAGGATCTGCTAAAATTAATGGCTTATTCACAGAACTACTAATTAATAATTACTCTGTTTTAATTTATTTTACTTTGATTTTTAACATGGTGGTTCTAAGTATAGGTCAAATTTTAGTAAAATTTCAGAATGTTTAGGTACTTACACATTAAGTCAGGAAACATAAAAGAAAAATTTGGTCCACTATGACATTCTTTTTCATGACACATTTGTTTTTTAACAGCCTGCACATAAATACCATTATCACAAGTAGATAATTTTTAAAACATAATGATCTAAGAAGCACAACTGAAATACATTTATTTCAAATGCTCTATCACTCACATACGATAGCAGGTGGGATACAAACTCCAGTGGGTTTAAAAGTATGTGATTTTATCAAGAAAGTATGGAAAAATGATTTTAGGTTAAAAAAAAAAAAAAACCCAGGCAATTAAAAAATAGGTTTGTTGATGGGACTATAATACCTGTATTCAAAGTAACAATCGCTTTCCAGAAATGCTGGAAGTCTTTCTTTTTTGATCCACTCAATACCTTCTTCACGACTGAGACACTATTAGAGGACAAGTGAAAAAGAAAAATCACCTTTCAGGACAATTAAGGCCTAGTCACTAGAGCAATATTACCAGGAGCCCTGCCTCTACCTTCTGTTTGCACAAGAGAGAGCAAGAACCTCGGAGTCCCACGTTTGAAGCCATTACTTGCCTTCAGGTACTTCTTTAATTCTCTCAACAACCCTGCATCAACTATTAGACCCATTTTACAGATTAACAAACTGAATCCAGAGAAGTTACGTAACTTATTGGAGGAGGAGGTATGAGAAAAAAAGTCACTCTCGGTATTTTCACAGTCGCAAAATGGGTTAAAAATAATCACAAACAGAAAAAGAGCTAACCAGAACACTTGATAAGGTCACTATGGTCACGACAGGCCCCTCTGTCCTTCCAGTTTTAGAAAATTTGGTTCAATATTTAACATCCCAGACACTATCCTGGGAATACCAGGGTTAGCAAGAAAGATAAGGCCCTGAGGCACTTGGGTGGCTCAGTAGGTTAAGCATCTGCCTTTGGCTCAGGTCATGATCCCGGGGTCCTGGAATTGAGCCCCGCATCGGGCTCCCTGCTCAGCGGGGAGTCTGCTCCTCCCTCTTCTTGTGCTGTCTCACTCTGTCAAGTGAATAAATTAAATCTTAGAAAGGAAAGAAGGAAGGAAGGAAGGAAGGAAGGAAGGAAGGAAGGAAGGAAGGAAGGAAGGAAGGAAGGAAGGAAGGAAGGAAGGAAGTTTACAGGTAATCCAATAAGCAATAGTAGTAGAGTGCAGTAAATGCCACAGTTCAGGCTTCTGTGGGAGGACACCTGGGCACTAAAACCAGCAAAGGTTTCCCGAGAGCATGCCACTAACTCTTTGACCTGACGCGTGATTAGCTTGGTGAAGAGGAGAGCAGGAGAGGAAACGAAGGTAAGTCTAGTATGACTACATCGCAGGGTGAGGTTTGAGGAAAGGAGGGAAGCAAGCCGGAGAAGCAGGCAGGCCTAATTATGAATTATCTTTTAAACAACAGTAAGGAGTTTAGATTTTATTTTGAGGTTGTGAGGGCCACACAAAATCATGGAAGAGTTACTGAGTTGCTGTTCATTCTCAAACATTTACTCACTATTGATTCTCTTTTTGTCTTATATTCACTTTTTTCCAGAATTCTAAAGAATGTCAGTACTTTGAACACTAAATGAATGCTCCTGGACAAGTACAACAACCAGTAAGGTACCCATGTCGGTGAGGCAAGGGTGTCTGCATTTATGTGACTTCCACTGATTATCTGCGAAAGCAACCGTTGTGCTGTGATAGTAACATCAGTCAACACAGAGCCCTGCTGACTCCAGGGAGGAAATTAAAGCGTCACAGAGTAGTACTGCCAACATCTGATGGGCTGATGTTCTTGAGCATGCACCTGCGCTCAACACTGCTTGCGTGTGGCATGAAGTCATTAGGCTCCCCAAGGCTGGAAGACTGAGGGAACAATGGTTTCCTTCTGTTCAGCCCAAAACATCCATTTGGCCCTGACCAAAGACTATCTTCTGGGTAATGAAGAAACAGAAGAAAGTTTGGAAGCAGCCAGCACCTGAACAGTAGCATCTCGGTGGCGGTCTTAGTGCCTACGAGTGAGATACGCAGGACACGTGGATCCTGTAGCCAGAAAAACTCCCAATAGGCCTCCACACATAGTACACAGCTACACACGACTCTCGGATTCTCATCAGCAATGCAGTCGATATGTCCCAGAAAGACACCAGACCACGTATTAAGGTCGGTACACCCCCTTGAGGAATACTACAAGGTGGTCAAGGCTAGTCAGTCATACAAAATCAATTTGCCTAATATTTAATGAACAGTTCACCAATAACTCATCCCCTTTTGAAGGTCTTTGCATCTATCTAACCCAAAAATGAAATGGAATGAAAAGTTTAAAAGGAATAAAATCAAAACTGACGAAAAGTCTTTAGACTGCCAAAATGTCCCTTCAAGGTGTTTACAAATAACTAAAATATAAAGACCAAAAAAACACAGAACAATCTTGTCAAACATAAAATGACAACTTAATAAATACCTATGAAAAACACAGAAATAATTTACCTATGGTAAAATTATTTAATCCTTAAAACTAAAAAAAAAAAATACATACAGTAAAAATCCATCCTTTTTAGTAACCACTTCTTTTTTTTTTTTTTTAAAGATTTTATTTATTTATTTGAGAGACAGAATGAGAGACAGAGAGCATGAGAGGGGGGAGGGTCAGAGGGAGAAGCAGACTCCCTGCCGAGCAGGGAGCCCGATGCGGGACTTGATCCCGGGACTCCAGGATCATGACCTGAGCCGAAGGCAGTCACTTAACCAACTGAGCCACCCAGGCGCCCTTTAGTAACCACTTCTACAAGTTTTAACAAATACTTACAGTTGTATAACCATGACTACAATCAAGATAGAGAATAGTTCCTACATCCTCCAAACTTCCTCATACCACTTTGCATTCAATGACTCCCTCTAACCCCAGGCCCTGGCAACCACCAATTAGTTCTCCACAGTTTTGCCTTTTCCAAAGTGTCATATAATTGGAATCAGTATAGTACATAGCTTCCTTCATTTAGCGTGATGCATTTGAGATTGACCTATGTTCTTAGACGGATCACTAGGTTCATTCCTCTCTCCTCCTCTTCAGCTTAGTACTCCACTGTATGGATGAACCATAGTTTGTTTATTCACTCCCCATTCAAGGAAATTTGGGTTTATTACAGCTTTTGGTGATTATAAATAAAGGAACTACAGACTTGCACATATAGGTTTTTGTGTGAACAGAACTGTTCGTTTCTCTTGGGTAATATGCGGGAGTAGGATAGATGGGTAGTATGGTGTATGTTTAACTTAGAAAGCTGACTGCCAAGCTGTTTTCCAAAATGGAATATCGCATCAACGATGTAAGAGTTCCAGCTGCTCTACACCTTGACTGGCACTTGGTATTGTCAATGTGTGTTGCATAATTAACTCATTCTAAAAGGTGTATAGAAATAGTTCGTTGAGATTTGTGTGTGTGTGTCTACACACACACTGCTTTTTTTTATAACAACTTCAAGATATAATTCACATTCCATATAATTCACCCATTTAAAATATATAATCCAATGGGTTTTAGTACATTCCCAAACCATCACCACGATAAAATGTCATCACCTTCCAGAAAACCTCATATCCACTAGCAGTCACTCTCCATTCCACATCAACAACTCGCCCACCCCTATCTCCCAATGTTGACTGCATTTCTCTTATGATAAATGTTGAACATCTTCTCATATGCATTTTTGTCATCTGTACATCTTTATTTGGAGAAATGTCTATTCAGATCCTATGTCCATTTTTTAAAACTGAAGTATAATGAACATAGTGTTATATTAACTTCAGGTGTACAATATACTGATTCAACAATTCTATACATTATTCAGTGCTCATCAAAGTTAGTGTACTCTTAATCCTCTTTTATTTCACCCATCCCCCCACCCCTCCCCTCTGGCAACCACCAGTTTGTTCTCTATAGTTGAGTCTGGTTTTTTGTCTCTTTTTGTTGTCTGTTTTATTTCTTAAATTCCACAAATGAGTGAAACCATATGATAGTTGTCTTTCTCTGGCTGATTTATTTCACTTAGCATTATACCCTCTAGGTCCATTCACATTGCAAATGGTAAGATCTCAAAGATCTCATTCTTTTTTATAAGAATAATTCAGCCACATATATCACATCTTCTTTATCCATTCATCTATCAATGGACAGTTGCGTTGCTTCCATATCTTGGCTATTGTAAATAATGCTATTGCAATAAACATAAGGGTTCATATATCTTTTTGACTTAGTGTTTTCATTTTCTTTGGGTAAATACCCAGTATGGCATTACTGGGTCATATGGTAATTCTATTTTTAATTTTTTGAGGAAACTCCATAATGTTTTCCACAGTGGCTGCACCAATTTGCATTCCCACCAACAATGCATGAGGGTTCCATTTTCTGCACAACCTTGTCAACACTTATTATTTCTTGTCTTTTTTATTCTAGCCATTCTGACAGGTGTGAGGTGATATCTCATTGTAGTTTTGATTTGAATTTTGCTGATGATTAGTGATGTTGAGCATATTTTCACGTGTCTGTTGGCCATCTGTCTGTCTTCTTTGGAAAAATGTATGTTCAAGTCCTCTGCCCATTTTTTATTTTTTTCAAGTTTTTATTTAAATTCCAGTTAGTTAACATACAGTGTAATATTAGTTTCAGGTGTAGAATTTAGTGATTCAACACTTCCATACAACACCCAGTGTTCATCACAAGTGTTTTTTTTCTTAAACTCCACATACGAGTGAAATCATATGGTATGTCTTTCTCTGACTTATTTTGCTTAGCATAATACTCTCTAGTTCCATCCACATTGTTGCAAATGGCAAGATTTCTTTGCTTTTGATGGCTAAATAATATTCTAATATATATATACACACACACACATATATATATTTATGTGTATACACACACACACACACACCACGTCTTTATCCATTCATCAGTTGATGGACATTTGGGCTCTTTCCATAATTTGGCTATTGTTGATAATGCAACAATTATAATGATAATGCAACCGCAACATTGGGGTGCATGTATCCCTTCAAATTATTATTTTTGTATCCTTTGGGTAAATACTTAGTAGTGTAATTCCTGGATCATAGGGTAGTTCTGTTTTTAACTATATGAGGAAAATCCATACTGTTTTCTAGAGTCCTCTGCCCATTTTTTAATCAGATTGTTCATCTGGTGTTGATTTGTGTAAGTTCTTTGTATATATCCTGCATATTAACCCCTTACTGGCTATACCATTTGCAAGTATCTTCTCCCATTCAGTAGGTGTCTTTTTGTTTTAATGATGGTTTCCCTTGTTGTGCAAAAGCTTTTTATTTTGGTGTAATCCCAGTATTTTAATTTTGCTTTTGATTCCCTTTCCTGAGGAGACATCCCTAAAAAAATGTTTCCATGGCTAATATCAAAGAAATTACTGCCTATGGTTTCTTTTAGGAGTTTTTTAGTTTTAGGTTTCACAGGTTTTTAATCCATTTTGAGTTTATCTTTGTGTTTGGTGTAAGAAAGTGGTCCAACTTCATTGTTTTGCATGATGTCATCCAGCTTTCCCAGCACCATTTGTCAAAGAGACTGTCATTTCTCCATTGTATATTCACGCCTCCTTTGTCATAGATTAACTGACCATACTCTTCTAGTCCATTGATCTATGTGTCTATTTTTGTGCCACTACCATAGTGTTTTGATCACTATAGGTTTGTAGTATATCTTGAAATCTGGGGTTGTGATCCCTCCAGCTTTGTTTTCTCTTGAGATTGCTTTGCCTACTCAGGGTCTTTGGTGGCTCCACACAAATTTTTGTATTATTTGTTCTAGTTCTATGAAAAATGTAGCTCGTATTCTGAGAGGGATGGCATTAAATATGTAGACTGCTTTGGGTAACATAGACATTTTAACAAAAGTGTTTCTTCCAATTCATGAGCATGAAATATCTTCCCATTTGTATCTTCTTCAGTTTCTTTCATCAATGTTTTATACTTTTCAGAGTACAGATCTTTCACCTCCTTGCTTAGGTTTATTCCTAGGTATTTTATTATTTTGTTGCAATTGTAAATGGGATTGTTTTCTTAATTTCTCTTTCTGCTACTTCATTTTTAGTGTATAGAGATGCAACAGATTTTTTGGAACTCCTTTGTAGGATTTATTTTATATAAAAACTGAATCATATTATATGCTTTAATTTACAACTTGATTTTTCCATTGAACAATACATGTGCATCTATCTCATCAGGACAACAGACATAGCTCAAACACATTCTTTCTAAATAGTCATATAATATTCCATAGTTCTTCAGTTGATAAAGATATAATACGTTTATATTACTGAAGTCAATGCTGCAATCAGCTCCTATACATACACATTTACTTGTATGGGATAAAAATCCCAAAGTGGCTTTCCAGGCATAAATCATAGTACTTTTAATTTTAATCAATTTTGCCAGATGAATTCCCAAAGATTGTAGCAATTAATATTCTACCAACACTAGATGTTATTACTTTTTTAAATTGTAGGCCCATTTCATGTGATGTGATGAGGACTGGGTGTTATACGCAACCAATGAATTATCAAATTCTACTTCTGAAACTAATGTACTATTTGTTGGCTAACTGACTTTAAATAAAAAAATTGTAGGCCAATTTAATGTCTTAAAAAATGGTATCTGGCTGTACTTATAATTTGCATATTTCTGATCATTTTTGTGATTAAACATCTTTTTACTTGCTCATTTTCCATTTTAATTCTTCTCTTGTAAATAGTTTGTTGAATTACTTCAATTATTTTACTGGACTACTTGTCTTTTTCTTAAATAAGATTGGTAAGAAATTAAGTAAAATGCATTTCCTCACACTTGCAAAATTTTTTTTCTAAATCATTGTTTTTTAACTTTATGTCATTTTCTAACATGAAATATTTTAATTTTGGTGTCTAGGGTTTTTTTTAATTATTATTATTTTGAGGATTCTGGAGTTCTTGACTTCATGAGAGGATGGGTCACATGCTAAGTTTACATACAAATTTTCCTGGATTTTATTGTAATATTTCAGTTTAAAAAACCATTTATTTATTAATATACAAATAAAGACAATTTAGCTTACTCTTGCAAACTGATAGTAATTATTTATATTTATTGTGTTTAAGCTTTGTCTAGGAAGTCTAAAATAATTTTGAATTAGCAATAAAGATATGTTTTTTCTTTTCTTATGATCTACTGGAAATGGTTACAGTATTTCACCATATACAGTGTGTACTATCGATTTTGGGTAGCCTTTAACATGTTTAAGCAATTTATTTTTTTATTTTTATTTTTATTTTTAAGATTTTATTTATTTGACAGAGAGAGACACAGCAAGAGAGGGAACACAAGTAGGGGAGTGGGAGAGAGAGAAGCAGGCTCCCTGCCGAGCGGGGAGCCCGATGCGGGGCTCGATCCCGGGACCCCGAGATCATGACCTGAGCCGAAGGCAGACGCTTAACGACTGAGCCACCCAGGCACCCCTAAGCAATTTATTTTTTAATGAGTTTTTATTAGACATAAGTTTGCATGAAATGCAATAGATTTATGTATACTAATTTTGTATCCTACAACTTTACTGAATTTATTTATCAGTTCTAGTAGTTTTTTGGTGGAGTCTTTAAGGTTTCCTACATATAGTATTATGTCATCTGCAGTTAGTGAAAGTTTTACTTCTTTCTTACCAATCTGGATGCCTTTTATTTCTTTTTCTTGTCTGATTGCTGTGGCTAGGACTTCCAGTGCTATGTTGAATAGAAGTGGTGAGAGTGGACACCCTTGTCTTATTCCTGATCTTAGAGGAAAAGCTCTCAATTTTTCCCCATTGAGCATAAGGTTAGCTGTAGGTTTTTCACATATGGCTTTTATTATGTTGAGGTATGTTCCCTCTAAACCTACTTTGTTGAGACTTCCTATCATGAATGAATATTGTAACAATTTATATGGTGCTTTATAGTTCAGAATATATTTCCTTGTCTAAACTTCAAAACATTGCTATAACATAGTTTTTTATTTTTAGTATTTGTAAAAGTATTTTAAAGACTATTATTATTAATATATTTAATTTGATGAAAGTAAACAAGAAAGACAGAAATATATTGGAATTCAGTAAAAGAAACACTGAAGAACTTTCAGGCTGGAAAAGAGCTATATCGTAAGTGTTGAACATATTTCAGCCTAGTTCCATCAGACACTTCAAATCATGGAAAATGTTAAACATTCATTTTATTTTCAGTTGAGCCACACAACAAACCTAAGTAGTAGGTAGCGAAGGAATCATTTGACAGGTGATGAAAATAAGGTTCATCAAAATGACTTGTTCAAGAACACAGAGCTGGTAAGTTAAAGAGTCAAGGTTAGAACCCAGGGTTGTTTGTGTTTTTTGTTTGTTTGTTTGTTTTTGTTTTTGTTCAAAGACAAAGCTCCTTAGCTCCTCATGCTAAGGAGACAAAATCCAGAAGCTGAGAGTGGAATTTAAGGCCAGGGAGGTCAGAGTCACATAGTGTAACTGGAGGGTCAGAACTCATAATTCCCAACTGCTTGTTAGGATAGAACCCAAATCAGATAAATTCACTGTATACCCACATTTTCTAGAATGCATCTAAACTATAAAGGATACACATATTTCTGCTGCCCCAAATTAACCTGATATCCTAAATGTTCAAAGGAAATTATATGAATCTTCTCATATTGTAAATCTAACATCAACAATATTGCTAGATTAAATTGGCCATTTGACATGAATAAGATGATAGAGTAACTAACAAATACTATGTTTAAGAACAATAAAACTTAATAAATATAGTTACATTTCAGAAAGTTAAGCCCAAGGAACCTCATGTTAGTCTTACCTAATGCTTTATCTACCTAGCAAGATATAAACTCAAATATACCTTCTTACCATGATATTGTAGTTTATATTAATGGTTTCATCTTCATAGGGGGCATTCATCTGAACAGGTTTAACATCATTCTTTCCTTTCCTTACAACATCATAGATGGGATTTCGAGGTTGCTGGTTTTGTAGAATTTTTTTCAGTTGCTTTTCCAGAAGTTGTGGAGCATTGTTAACTATTTCAAAAACTCCAAAATCCACGTTAAATCTAATTGCCTCTGAAAAGGTCTGCAAAATAAATTTGTAGAAATATATCTTAAATTTTTATAAACCAGAAACTCACTGTTTCCAAGGACACTTGACACTTAATAAATGCATAATATGCATTTAGTATAAGCATACACACACACACACACAGTTTTGTGTATTTAACCATTAGCTCTTCTCTTTAGGAGCTTGGAATTCTCTTGACTACAGATAAGGGAACCCATTGAATCCTTCCTTTCCAATGTACTTATGCCAAGAAATAAGGATGTATTACAGCAGGAATTCCCTTTCCATAAACATCTTATCCCTGTGCTTCTTTGGAACTGGAAAGAAATACACACCTGGTCTCTATGAAGCAATGTTATTCTCTAAGGAGGGGGTGGATTACTAGGGAAGAATGAGTAAAGGAAGAAGAAATAACACTCCCGTTATCTCTTTCATCCCCAGGAGCCATGAAAGCTAAAGTCCCCCTTGCCCAAAAGGATAAAATTAAGTACAATGTGTTCTTCATTTAAGACTATTTCAACACCACTCCTCTCACTGTGAAAAAAAAGAGAGAGAGAGAGAGTGAAAGACAATAACATTTCTGAGCTTTTCTCAGTAATTACTAAATGCTGCCAACTTTTATTTAAAGTCAGTCAGTTAATATACAACAGTCAGGAGTCTTGAGTTTGAATGTCAGCTTGCCAATAAGTAGCTCTGTGACTTTCAGTAAATCGTTAAACATGTGTGGGGCCTCCATCTCCTTAACAAGTAAATATTGGATTGGCTGTCTGTGTCTTTTCACATTTTGCCCTCCAAATCTAGAATCAGGTTCCTTTTTCAGAGTATGAACTTATTTTAGAATACCTTTCTTGAACTACGTACTCATGTAGATTCATTTATGTATTTTTAGCCAGGTGGTAGAAGACATCAAGCCCTTCCCCTTGGATCAATAACTGTCCTAGGGAGAGCATCAATTCTTTCAAATTTTACTAAGAGATTGCTAGATATACTATAGTTAAAATTTAATAAATGGCAGGATGTCATAAAATGGGTGTTAGAAATATATATATATGTGCATATATATAAATACCCATATATGTGTATATATATACATACATATTCTTCTAATGTCAGATAACATCACATCTCTAAAGTCTGAGTGTCTCCCCTTCTAAGGAGTTTAAAGTGCATGGACAATAGGGTTCAATATGAACGGCAGTCTACAGGCCCAAAGTCCTCAGGGCTAAGATTTCCCCCTCAAAAATGACAAGTATAGCTCAATGGACAAGTATCAACAATTACCAGTAAATTATGTATAAGGTTTCTTCAATAAACATATTTAATTGCATCTGTCTTTCAAACATGAGATTCACACAGGCATCGCTTACCTGAATGTCAAATATTATCTGTGAATTATACTATCACTAGACTAAACAGATAAATGAGTCTGCTGATATCAGAGACAAGATTCAACTGGTAAGAGAAAGGAACTGAATTAAATGTGGTAAATAATAGACATAAAATATTAACTGGGGAGAGGGAAATGGTACAGTCGACGGCAAAAGACCATCTGGAAAAGATTTCTTCTAGTTCTGAGCATCCATGGAACAAGAGGGCAGGTTTGGTCTTTATTTGTTCTCCTTTCTTTTTCTGCCTCTTACCCTCACACCTGGTAGACAGGGGAACACAAAGCTGTGATAATCCAAAGCAAAGAATGCCAATAGATAGTTCTATGAACAAATAAAATATTTCCTGCTATTCATTTTAAAAAAAATGCTCCATCCAGCAAAAAAAAAAAAAATAGAGGGACTATGACACTCTAAGCCCCTCAGTAGCCAATGTTACTCACTAATAAATAGTTACTGTACAGTTGGTAGAAATAATAGAAGTGACAAGAACTACTGTTTTTTGGAACATCTACCTAATGTGCCAGGCATGTGACAGACACTTCAAATGCTCTATCTTGAATCCTTCCACATTCCTGAGATCAGTCTTTATAGAAAGTAGACACCCAGGATGGTTACATGATGGGCCATGGATTCAGAGCTATGAAGTGCTAGATCAGGGCTACTGAAATAGGTCTATCTGGTCCCAAAGAATGCATTTCCCCTTCTTTACCATCATATTGCCTTACATCTGATAAAACTAGCATGCACTCACCACCTTCTCTAGGCCAGGCACTGTGCTATGCAATAACCCTATACAGTTAGTGGAACTGGGGTTCAAATCAAGGTGTTTTACTAGTAAAGACACAGAGAATTGAAACAGCATGGTGTATGTGGGTCATTTTAAACAGTTCCATGCAGTTAGAATCTAACTAGACGAGTTCACAGTTGAAACAGTTTAAGGAACAGAGGAAAGACTTGAGGTAGCTGAGGTAGGTAGGACAAGATCATGGAAGGCTGTGCATGCCATTTTAAGAAGCATAGGCTTATCTTGATCCTGTGGGAAACAGTGTGGGATGGGAATATTCCAAATTGGAGAGTAAGTAACATAATCTGATTTGGGTTTTTAGGAAGACTCTCCAGGTAGCAGTCTGGAGTGTTGTTTGCGGGCTCTGGAGTTGGTGAGGTACTGAGCTCCCATCCCACAAGCTGTTGCGATCGGAGCCAGGTTCGGTGTGGTAATTATTCACTCTCCTGGATGGGTTACTGTCCCATCCAGGGACACACACACAGGCTAGGGCAGGCTTTAAGGCAGGTGGTCAGCAAATTTTCATTTTCAACTCACAAACCAACTCACACACCAAACTGCAGCTGAAAAAGGTTAAGCGATCTCTTCGTGGATTTACAAGTCCCCTAGTGAGCTCACTATAGAACTCTGGGCTCATGACAACCACCCGCCTTAAACCCAGGGCTGACACATAATTTCAGTAGGCGTCGGTAGATGCTGTGGATTAGCTCACTCAGGATCTGTTCCAACCTCCTGAAATGCAGAATCTGGACAACTAAAAACTCTATCACCCAGGTCCCTTGCAAGTCCAGTTTCACGTGTGATTTAGGTTCTGCTAGTCATGTGCACAAAATACTGAAATTCTGAAGCAAGTCAAGTGGGGAAAGAGGCAAGGTCTGTTCATTCAGAGGAAGGAAAGCTCAAGGACATAAACAAGTGAAAGTGAGGAGAGAAACTGGACAAAAAGAAGTACTTTATCGAAAATAAAAGACAACGGAAGGAAAGCTATAATTAATTGTGTTCATGATTAAATGACATGAAATGACCCCAAGTATTTTTTTAAAAAGAAATGTAGCTATATGTAATATATTTACAATTTTTAAACTTAAGACTTTATCTCAGTGGAATTGAAATGTGATAGGGTCTTTGCCACAGGGAAATAGTGTTTTCCTGCTTTAAAAGCCATGATTTCCAATGGATCTCTGCAGGTCCTTAACAATGCCATGATTCTAAGTTTATAAAAGGGGCAAATAACGGATTCAAAGCTTTGCCCCATTCACTTATTTCAGCAAAAACAAAACTTTTGAAGGCCCAAGTGTCAATTAATGTCCCAAGCAAAGAGGATACAAGCTGAATAAAACATTGTTTCTGCCCTTGCAGGAACAATACATGGTCATTCATTTTTCTCTATGATGAAGAGAGTCAACAAAATCCCGAAATAATTTGAATTAGTGTAACATGCAAGCGCTAAAGGGGAAATCTGTCCACAGAGACCATGGTACTAATACTATTTTACCTAGTTTAGTTATTGTACTTTAAAAGGGATTTGGCTAAACTAGGATCTATCCAGGAAAGGATAAACAGAATTATTAAATGGAAGCAATGTTGAGTAAAATTACTTTGCTTTTCTGGGATTTTTTTTTTTTATCATAAAAGGGTTAATTAAACAATCCCAAGGTGCCTTCCATGTTTGATACTCCATTGGTCCATGATTGTCTCTCAGGAAAAAAAGAGCCTATATCTTCTTTTTTCTTAAAGATTTTATTTTATTTATTTGAGAGAGAGAGAGATAGAGAGAGCACAAGCAGGAGTGGCAGACACAGGGAGAGGGAGAAGCTGGTTCCCCCCTGAGCAGGGAACCCGATGCCGGGCTAGGTCCCAGGACCCCGGGACCATGGCCTGAGCCGAAGGCAGACACTTAATCGACTGAGCCACCCAGGTGCCCTGAGTCTATATCTTCTGCTTTCTAATAAGATCACCCAATTCCACTGTTCCTTTGTTATTTTACTCATTCATTCAATAAGTATTTATTAAATCCTTATTAAATGAGATAGCATGATAGATGATACACTGCTACATTGAGTGAGCCAATCCAGAGCATTCTCCACAAAGCCCCAAATGAAATGAATGAGACGTAGATCTGACCTCAGGTTATGCTGATCCAACAAGAGAAGGAAGATATGTAAGTACACAGAGACAGCAAAGACTCATCCCACAAGGCAATGAGCCCTACAGTGGGCACATAAGGTGAAATCATATTTAGTCAAAATTATCCTTTGAAATCCTTGAGAAGACCCATAAAGTATAATGTCCTACCTCTCAAGAAGCTGCTCACAGTTTTTCCTCTGGTGTTGAAATGGGTCATAGATTTTTCAGTTAGGAACCAGATAAAATGGTGGGCTTGTGTTTAAAGCTCATGTTATATAGAGAGATGCATGTTTAACACTAGAATCCCCCTCAGCATGATCAGTTGACTACACTAGGAGAGGCAAGCAGGAAGAGACCCCTGAGGGAACAGCAGGTTCTCATCTTCCATCTCCCACCCTCATCAGGATGCTCATGGACTGCTATATGTGTGTTTATGAATTAGTACAACAGACAAAATCATCTTCACTCTTTAAATCACCCTCACTCTCTCTGCAGAGCGCAAATAATTCATTTTGAGTAATAACACATGTATATTGATGAACTGCAAGCAGTTTGACATTGCTGAAGCTTACTATTCAAGAGGGGAGTAACAGGATATAATCCTAGAGGGAAAGGCAGAGGATGAGTTCATCAAGGACTTTCTATTTTTTTTTTTTTAAAGATTTTTATTTATTTATCTGACAGACATAGCGAGAGAGAGAGCACAAGCAGGGGGT